ATATGGCGAGCGAGGCTGCAAGACCACCAAGGACGATCCTAAAGCGGCGAAGCTCATTGATGCGGTAGTCCATTTGTCACTGCTTTTTTGTACCGTGCTGAAAGCTACCTGTTGTACTCGGAAGGAAGATGAAAAAGAGGTGGGAGAGAGCACTCCAAATCATTCAAGGTGCCGGGCACAACACACCGTCGGGCGGGTAGTGTCGTGGGGGGTGCGCCCCCGTCAACAATAGCAGGTGCCTCGCGCTGAAAAGCATTGAAACAGAAAGCGAAAGAAAAAAAAACCATCGAGTCGTGTAACCGTCAGTATGACACCATATAGTGGGGTCTCACGGGTCCCGCACATTAATTGGAAGATTGGACGCATCGAGGATGCAATTGCACAGCCACAGATGATTTTTCCCTCTGTGTGAAAACAGTCTAACAATAAATTTTGAGTAAAATGGGATATGAATACACATTCTCTACAGGAACGCAGATTGTCACTGTCACGTAGAAACGGATGAAGTGGGTGGATTGGAAAAGAGAAATCGTCCTCAATCGACAAGACCCGTACGTCAGAAAAAGAAAGGGCAAATCAATACAAACAAAAAAAATTCCCCACATATATTCATTTACGTCACCTTCCCCTGCGTCATTTTTTTTCAGAGAAAGGAGAGATTTCAGCATCATCAACTGAAACCGGCTGTCGTGAGGCAGCAGCCTTCGAAGACCGGTCTGCTCGGCCCTTCTTCACGAAGCGGCGGTAGCGGATATGCACCAATAAACTTGCCGCAACGGCTGTAACATTAACACAGAGCAGGATGATGAATGCGGTCTGGACACATGCCTTGCCACCACAATAGGGGTACGTCCCATTCTTCCTTGCCTGCTGTGACAACAGCTCGCCGTATGCAAAGCGATTCAGTGCAATGACAGCTATCAGTGCACCCGACGCCATGAAGTTGTAGTGCTTGCCGATGTCTTTTGCGTACAGGGAGCGCAGCGTCAAGGCCGTACTCGCCCAGCTGGCCCCGTTACCGAACGAGCCCAAAAAGAAACCAATCAGAATTGCCTTGGAGCGAAGAGGCAGAGCCAACAGGAACACCATTCCCAGCACAAGGGTGCACGACGCAATCGGGTAGAGGCAGGTGATCACAGGGCGCTTTTCAGGATCGCGTCGAAGAATATATGTCTCCAAGCCACCGACTAAAATACGGCCAAAGGCACTCCCGACGCCGATGATCGCCGAGTACATCGCATTCGTAGCAGCATCATACTCATTATCATTCAGCGCGCGGTATATTTGGGCGCTGTTGAAGCTGACGATGAGTCCGCAACCCCACGTCGCCAGTGTGTTCCACCACATCAACCACAGGTCCAGCGTACGCAAGTCCTCCCAGAACGTGCCCTGGTACTGCGGGTCAAGTTTGGCCACATTTTCGTCCCTTTCGACATCATTCCCACTTGCCGCTGCGTTCCCCTCTGAAGACAGCTGATGCACTCCCGGTGAATTCTCAGGGAGTGGCGGGAGCTCCTCTTTCGGTGGTACCGACATGCCGCCAAGGAATGGAAAGGGCGCCGCAATCAGGGACAGTGAGAGTACAAGCACAATCGCCCCAATGGTGATACCAATGCGGGTGTTGTCTGGGATACCACTGATGTAAGCGAAGCATAGCGACTCAGTAGTCAGGTAGATGATCAGCGCGATGGTGATAACAAAATCTAGAAGAAAGCGCCGCATTGGTGGCCGTTGTCGCAGATAGTAGGGCTCAATGAGCCGCCGCCGTTGCTGAATGTCCTGCGGCACTGTTTTCTTCTCACGGTCCACAATGTGGTATGGGGGGAAGCGAATAAAGATCGCCGAAAAACCACCCAAAACCACCACAGTGATTGTCATGAAATACATGTAGGCCGCGTATCTATCACGGAAAAAACTGTTGTTGATAACAGCAAGGACAGATGCGCCCAGACCGGCAAACGTCTTCATCAGCGC